AATTAAATATTACACTCAGAGCCCTTTTTTTTAAAGTTACAGTTGTGAATTTTTGTTAGAGTAAAAGAGTGGTCGGATTCTCCAGGTTTTGGGCCTTTTGCTCGCTTTTTGCACTTTGCAACAAATGCTACTTGGAGTATTCTCGATGCAACAAGATTATTCTTCGTGAGGGTGCTTTCCGATCATTCAATCGATCAAACAATCGATCACTTTATTTAAGAGTAAATGATGGTATCTAGCCAAAGGTAAAACCCTCTACTAACTGGGAACACTTAAATAAAGTAAATAAAATAACGGAAGACACGATGATTTGCGGTCGCGACAGGACTTGATGACATCGCGGAAATTTGCGACTGCCGGGAATTTCTCGACCACTAATTTGTCTACTTTTATAATGGCTTTTTTCTTTTGGAAACATGACTGTGTCCCTTGTGATTAGCAAACAGTTAAAAATTAAAATTTCTTTGAACGAGTCGGTAAAGGACCGGACAAGATGTCCGGCAAACCAAGGATTTGTCCGGTCAGTACCCAATTTTGACCGGACATTGTCCGTTGACCGGCCGTTATTTGCAGCCCTGCATTGGGTATCCAAAAACATGCACGTGATGTGCTATACATGCTGTGATTTGTAGTTGACTTTATGAATTATTAATGAGTTTGAAAAGATTTATTTCTTCCTTCAGTTAAAATGGTTTTCAAATTGAAATTATCTACAATTCATGATCCCTGGGGTCTTATAAAAGTTCAAAATATGTGTTATGCTTCCACAGTGATACCGTTCTAGAAATCTGCAAAACCTTAACAACCGACTCTTCGTGCGTGCGACAATTTGGGTTTGAAGACTTGGTGAGCTTTCCCACCAAAACTTGAAAGACCGCGGGAGAAATATTTTCCTGACGTCGCGTGTTATGGTCCTTCCTCCTCTCAATAAATGAGAGGGAGTGGAAATCTTTTTTTCCCCGTTTTGGCTCATCTTGTTGCCGCCATTTCACGATGCACAACAAAGCTCATCTCTTATCGTTTTACCCTGAAAATGGAAATAGCAAAAATGTGGTTGAGAACACAGTTGGACAAATGCACTCAAGACAGGAAAAAAAACCCTGCCTTAGCTTGCCCTTTGGGACTGAATAGAAGAGGTTTGCCCAAGGGACGGCCGGGAAGGGAAATATACGACTAAGGAGCAGCTGCTAAGCAGTTCTTATTAATACTGGTCTTCTACGTACGATTCCGAGAGAGGGGAGGAGCCACTCCACATAAAAGCAATGTTGGTATGTCCAACTATGTAGGAGTATGAAAACAAGGGTAAAGAATGGCATTTTCTGGTCTAAAATAGGGTCAGGATCTGGCAAAGCACGCAGCACGTTCTTATCAAGATATCCGAAGGGTACCCTTCCTTCCCTCCCCCGACTTAACAACCAGCCGATCTGACTCTGACACGTCTTTAGATGTCTTCATACATGGTTCGTACAACTTCAGACAAACAAAATTCAAGGACTTTTCAAGGACAAAAATGGTTTTTAAGAATAAATATTAGCGAGAAAAACACACAACGTTTCGATGACTCCATGTCATCATTCTCAAGTGAGAAGAGAATAAAAATGAATAATTAATTTATACCGTACGAAGGTGACAAACGTAAAAAGTTAAAAATTTTTAAAAATTTAAATAAATAATTGCGCGTGTTGAGTTCATAAATGTAAACTATTAAATAAATAGTTTCGCGCGTATGGAATCCGATTGTTTGTTCAAAGAGGGCTTCATCTTCTTTCTGAAAAGCATCTCATGAACTAAACAGTCCAGTTTCCCGGTGCACTTTTTAAGTACGTTGAAATGCTTGGTCAGGTCGCCGATGGTTTGTAGGCCGTGGTCGTTCTTTAGATGTTTGTCGATGGCCGAACTACGGTGCTTATCAATACGTTGATGTAAATGCCGGCTGGTGTACCCGACGTACTCTGCATCGCACAGATCACATTTATAATTATATACAACGCGTTGTTGGCTAACTATAGGAGGTTNAGGTCGGAAAACCCTGGAGTGCAAGCTCAATTATCCATCAACGAAAATGCTGTTCACCGAGTGGTTTTGCCTTTTAAAGATCAAAAGTCAGCTGACGCAGTGAAAAGGCAATTATCAGATCTAAGCAACAAAATCGATCACACCCTTCAACCCGTGTTAGAGAGTCGCAAAATCTGTGAAGATCTCAGAATGCGTGAGCCTAAACCTCCTATAGTTAGCCAACAATGCGTTGTATATAATTATAAATGTGATCTGTGCGATGCAGAGTACGTCGGGTACACCAGCCGGCATTTACATCAACGTATTGATAAGCACCGTAGTTCGGCCATCGACAAACATCTAAAGAACGACCACGGCCTACAAACCATCGGCGACCTGACCAAGCATTTCAACGTACTTAAAAAGTGCACCGGGAAACTGGACTGTTTAGTTCATGAGATGCTTTTCAGAAAGAAGATGAAGCCCTCTTTGAACAAACAATCGGATTCCATACGCGCGAAACTATTTATTTAATAGTTTACATTTATGAACTCAACACGCGCAATTATTTATTTGAATTTTTAAAAATTTTTAACTTTTTACGTTTGTCACCTTCGTACGGTATAAATTAATTATTCATTTTTATTCTCTTCTCACTTGAGAATGATGACATGGAGTCATCGAAACGCTGCGTGTTTTTCTCCCTAATATTTATTCTTAAATGTCTAACAAAATCTAATGTCGTTCGAAAAATGGTTTTCGAAGAATTAGTTTTATTGATAAATCTAAACCATTTACGATTGAATACACATTTGCCCATCGCTCAATTAAATTGAAAACAAAGCGAAATGAAAAATTCATCGACCAAAACATAGCCAAACCACTACATGTTTACGTTGCCCCTTAAAACAAAAGCACATGGCGGACTACCCCACATCGGAGGCCTTGCGCATAAAATTGAGGCACACATCCAACTTTGATTCATGTACCACTCACGTTTTATACCGACCATTTTCGCTTTTTGGTAGTTACTAGTGGACAAATTTTCCATAGCAAAATCGTTTAATTTATCAGAAAAGCGATAAGGCGCACAGAAGTTGCCAAATTTCAAGGACTTTTCATGACCTACCAAAGAAATCAAGTACTTTTCAAGGACTTTTCAAGACGACCGTTAAAATTAAAGACCTTTTCAAGATTGCACGAACCATGTTCATATCACGCAAGGCACAGGAGAGTGTTCAGTGAGAGATCGGTAGAAGGGGAGAGAGGTAAGACCCTCAGACCCTCCCACTTTCTATTTGTAATCACGAATCTCACACTCCAATGCCGACCATGTTGATTGCCCTTACCATGGGGGGACGTCTGGGGGGCGAGGAAGGTTCTACAAATGATAGCTACCCGTCGGTTATTTGTTTCCTATTAAAACTGCGCGACTCTCTCTCTCTCTCTCGTAAATATTAACTCACCTTCTAAGCCCCGTGAGTGTGGGTTTTAACAACAAAAATTTATACATTCAAAAAAATAGATCATCAAGGAGGCCTTCATACTTCAAGCGAAATTAAAACCTAGAACAGAAGTTTTTTTCACCCTTTCTTTCTAACGCCAGCAGAATATAGGATTGAAAAAAAAAATGTAACAACGAGTAGCTAAAACCATTTTCGCCTTACCAGGCAAACTTCCTTCTAGCTCTCATCTGACCGGGCTTCTTTCTCTCCTTTATCCGTGGATCCCTTATCAGTAAATGAGCTGAAAAATAATCAGAAGTCAACTAATCTGCTGTTACATTGTCTTTCAAACTCCGTCGTTTGCAATCTAGGGTAATCTTTGTCAATCTGTAACCCTTCTTATTCCACTACGGACATAACCTTTCCTTGTGGGTGTTTCTCTAACCCAGAAAACTGTTTAAAGGTTTCACTCCAATCAATGACAATAAAG